TTTATAATTATATAATTAATAATTTATTTTAATTGACTTTTTTTAATGATAAAAATATACACATTTATATATACATTTATAATACAAAATAATAATTATTATTATCTATATAAAACAAAACACACAAAAATGAACATTTTTTATATATATTTATTTTCTAATTCAATTACTTTTGTAGATAAATTAATATTTTTAATTTAAAAAAATAAATATTACTATTATTTTCTATACAAACAATAACACAACAAAAAGCCGTATCGGTATCGGTATCGGTGTGGACACTGGTCATGGTATCGGTCGAGCGCTACTACGCTATATGTCAGCCGTTGCGGTCGCGCGGCTATCGGCAGACCCTATCCTATGCCTATCGAGTCATTGGTATCGTATGGTTGGCGTCGTTGGTGTTGATGTCGCCGATAGCCGTAGTCAGTGAACTACAGCCCATCGAAAATACTGGTTAGTTGTCTAACACACCCACTCCTCCCCCCCTATCATAACATAACTGTCCACTAAATAAACAAACATATTATTATTATACTTATTATTCTTATATATATATATATATAAACCAAAAAAAATAAATAAAATAATAGGCAATTATAAGTGTCGGGAGTCGTGGCCAACACCGCACCTGTTGACAGCGTTTACACTATTTTTAGATATATTACTATTTATAATACCATTGATGATAATGTCCATCACCTATACGTCTATATCGATAACATTAAGACATAACCTAAGGGTCAGTCAACAGCAAACAGGTATTTATTTATTATTAATATTAATACAACTATTTATATTATATTTTATATTAATATACAATATATAATACTATATAAACAATATATATATAATATATATATACTTAAATATAAAAGCAAACAATAATAGGACAATGATTATGATGTCTAATGTCAAAACATTATATAATATATATATATATATATATTATAATATTTATTATATATAAATAGTCATTAATGTTGTTTTTAATATTTTATTTTTATTAATTTTATTTTATTTTTAGTTAGTGTTATAAAATTATTTAATATATCATACATTTGTATTATTATCATTTTTTTTCATAATTATTTATAATTAATTATCATATAATTTATGCACAAATGTTTTAGACGTAAATGCTAATGAAAATAAATACAATAAGTTTATTGAATTATATTTTTATATAAACTATTAAAAAAAAGACAATAGAAAATAAGTCTAATAATAATAATTTATTTTTATAGTCGATCAATAAAAATGATATTTAATAACAAAAATATTTATTTTTATTATTATATGATTACATGATATGATTACTTGATATTATTTTATTTATTGATCTATTTATTTATAGATATAGATATTATTATTATTATTATTATTATTATACTGTATTTATAATATAATTATATATATATCAATATACTAGAAATATAATTATATTTAGCATAATTATAATTATTATTAGATATTATTTTTTTTTTTAAATATAATAATAACTAAAAATATTATTTTATTTTTATTAATATGTTATAAAAAATATTTCATAATAAATAACTTTTTAAAAAAATAAATACTGTATATTGAAAATTAAAATAAAATAATAATAATAATAATAATAATAATAATAATAATAATAATAATAATAATAATAATATAATCAATTAAACTAATGTGATAAACAAATTAATAGTATTGTTATTGTATTTAATATAAAATATTAATTGGAAAAAATTTATATAATTATAATTTGTGTAAACATTTAAAATTAAATACATATATATATATACTAACTAATTGCAGTATTATAATTAATTGCATCAAAAAAAACATCAATATACAGTATAGTATTAATTGATTATTTATATATAATAGTACCTAGTTTATAATGTTTATTACATGTTTACTATTACGATAAAATTATACAACAACATCAACAACATAAACACGAAAATATCTATTTAGATAATTGCATTTTTTTAAGTTCACATATAGATTGTACCTGGGTATTGATTTTTATAGCCAAAAAATATATATATATATATATATACCCGTATAAAAACTAATCAATTTATATACAGATATTTTTTTTATTTAAAAAGTCAAGCAAAAAATCCATACATACACATATATACATACTGCACATACATACATACATAAATACATGCACACACATACACACACATATACACATACATACATCCAAATACACACACACACACACACATACAAACTCATACACATACATACACACACACACACACACACACACTGTCAATGTTTATCTTCAAAAAAAAACTTATACTCAAAACTTAAACTAATATTTGAATTGAAAAAAAAAAATTAATTTTTTTATCACCAGTAAAAGCACATGAATATCGGTGCAGCCGTCAGAGCCTATCATCGGAAACAACAACAGATCCCAGAGTGCTGTCATCGTCGACGACAACGACAACAACGACAACAACGACAACAACAGCCAACAACTGTATCAAAGCCTCAGATACTATCGTCTACGCGGATATGCTATCGACAATGTCTACCACATCATCATCGATGGCCAACACCAACAACAATCATCATCAGCAGCAGCACCCGAGGGTAGTGCTGGCATTGCGTACAAATACCAGTCCCCAGATTACCGAAGCCCGTCAGAAACGTATCGTCAAAATGCTGTTTGTAGTGGTACTGGAGTTTTTCCTATGTTGGACACCCATCTATACGATCAATACCCTAACCATCTATCTGAACCAATGGATCTACCAGTCCATTGGCTACAATTGGATATCATTTTTTCATTTGTTGGCATTTTTCTCGTGCTGTACTAATCCTATTACCTATGGGTTTATGAATCGCCGATTTAGGCAAAGTTTTCTACAATTGTTTAAAAGATTGCGATAATTAAAACAAAAACAAAAAAAATATATATATATAAAATAATAATAATAATAATTTTATTTAATTAGTTGAATTGAATGTATGATTTTTATTTTGTATGTAAATATATATATATATATATATATATATATATAAATATTACTATATTTTTTTTGTTGAGTTAATTGAGAGAAATATTTTTAGATAAAAAAATGTAACAAAATTTAATAATTATTATTATTTTGTATAAACAAAATTTAATATTTTATTTAAATAAGTTAATGAATGAATGATTTTTATTTTGTGTGTAAATATATATATTTAAATAAATAAATATTTCTCTTAACGAAAATAAATAATAATTTTGTAAATATATAATAATAATAAAATATTGTCAAATAATTAATTGATTGTTTATTTGTATAATAATAATAAAATTTATTGAATTTTTTTTAAATTACTTTTAAAAAATGATATAATTTGGTTTTTTTACTAAACAATTAATATTTGTTAAAAAAAATATTTGTTTACTAATTTTTGTTTTGTTTTTTGTTTGTTTGAGTATTATATTAATTCCCTTAATATAACATATTAATGATATTGAAGTAAAAATTAAATGTAATTTGATTTTTTTTTTATAATACAATTAAATCCATTGCTTTTCAATTAACTATAGATCCGGGATGCAGGGTTGTGCAATTATATATATATATAATATATTATATATGTATATATATGTATATATTATATATATATATATTATATAATATAATGTTATATAATAAGTACATATATATATATATATAGTATATATTTTTTAATCTATTATTAAATTATTAATTAATTGAAAAAATAATAAAATTGTGATGATTTACACTACAGTATCTTATAAATAACAATATAAATTTATAAATTATATATATATATATATATATATATAGTATGCTATATAAAGTATATATTTGTGTAAAGTTTATATATAGTATTTATACAGTATATATATATATATATATATATATAGTATTTAGTATGGCTTATAAATAATATTGAATTTAATCCTATATATAATTTATAAATTTATATAAATATAATATATATTTTTATATTTTAATCTTTAATTTTCTAGTTTCATTTTAGATATAAAAAAAAAATTTAAACTATAAAATTAAATTGTTTGTTTTATTTGAACTTTTTTTTGAAAATATTTAATTTAATACAATATATATATATATATATTTGTTTTTATATCCTATAAGTTAATGCATCATCATCATTCAAGTAGAATAATTTATTTGAATAACAAAATTTTTTTAAAGCTATTTTTATTATATTTATTTGAAAACTTAATTTTTAACTTTTATTTATTTATTTATTTTTTTTTAATTTAATTTATTCTAGATATAAAGTAATACTTTTTAATACTTTAAATTTAAAATAAAATATTATTATTATTTTTCTTTTTAAAAAACTAACTTGTTTATATTTTGAATATCATGTTACATTTTAAGCACTTAAATATATATATATATATATATATATATAATGTCAAAGTGTTGAAATATTTATATACATTAATGAAAATAAATTTTATTTTTAAAAAAAATGATTTTTAGTCTAGACAAAAATAATTAATATTTAATTATATTACTAACAAATAATAATAAATCAAATAAAAAAAATTTAATTATTTTAATTATATTTTATAATAAAATACATATTATGCGATTGACATAATTATAAATTAATTTATCTTTATTAAGTTAGCTACTTTAATTAATTAATTAAAAAAAGTGATAATTATTAAATTAATAAAAATAAAACTAAAAATAGCAACTAATAGAGTATCTAAAAAATAATTATTATTATATTATTTATTATAATGCTAAAATAAATAACCTAGCATAAAAAATCGGTAAAATTATATTATCGTAAATTAAATTTTAAAAATAATTAATTAAAATTAAAAAAAAATACAAAATTCAATACAAAGTTGAATACAAAAATTAAATACAAAAAATTCAATACAAAAATTCAATACAAAATTCAATACAAAATTTCAATACAAAATTTCAATACAAAAATTCAATACAAAAATTCAATACAATATATCATATATTAAGCCGTTATTGATGTCAACAAACATTGTGTTTGTATTTAATATACAGTAATACTTGTGTCAGTCATATGTTAATCACGTGACACACGTGTGTTACTACTGTCAGTCAATCAATCAATCAATTAGTGGTCACCCGATAGCGGTCAGAGGTCACACACCCCATAATATTTGCCGACTATCATACCGGCCATTATCATCACCATCACCACAACCACCATCCATATATGTGGTCACTAGTGGCCAGACTGCGATCAGCGGCGGCAGTGGCCGTCAAATCGCAGCCGACTGTCTATTGTTGTCGTCACCGAAAGTGGCCACCGATGATGACAACGACAAACCGATACGTGTCCAGCGGTAGTGGTGTTGGCCAACAACAGCAACAACAACAACAGCAGCCGCGCGAAACTCACGTCAAGTTTAGCAATGGGTTTGTATTACCGCCGCCGCCGAGATATACCCGAAAACTTATGATTTTATTTTCTGTTATATATTAGCCGAACAATGTCTATATCCAGCGGACGATTTGCCCGATTGGCCGACGGTTCAGCTGTAGTATCAGCTGGCGATACAAACGTTATGGTTGTGGCCGTCAGCCGCCGGTCGCCTAAAGGATCGTACGCACCGTTTGTACCGTTGACTGTCGACTATCGGCACAAGTATTCGGCCGCCGGTCGCATACCGACCAATCATTTGCGTCGCGAAATGGGCGCCACTGAACGCGAAATACTAACCGCTCGGCTGATCGACCGATCCATACGACCACTGTTTCCGAAAGGCTATAACTTTGAGACGCAACTCGTCTGCAATCTATTATCGGTCGACGCTGTCAACGATCCCGATGTTTTGGCCATAAACAGTGCATCGGCAGCCCTATCACTATCGGATATACCGTGGAACGGACCGGTAGGTGCCGTACGAGTGGCCCTAACCAGAGACCGATCGACGGTCATCACTTGTCCGACTCGTAAAGAGATGGCCGACGCATCGCTGAACTGTGTGGTCACCTGTAACTCGGCCGGCAATGTCCTAATGTTGGAAGCGTTTGCCAACGAGCCGATAGTCGAGCCGGACCTACTCAAGACATTGCATCGGGCGGTCAAAGAGTGCAAAGTTGTCTGCAATCAAATCGAAACACTTCAGCGATTGGCCGATAAGCCGAAACGCGATATCAGCCAACATATCAATGTGTTTACCGATGAACTGTTTGCCTCAGCAAAAGTGTATGTATTTTATGGTCAGAGAGAGAGAGAGAGAGAGAGAGAGAGAGAGAGAGAGAGAGAGCATACATATATAATCTACAGTAACTTATTGTGTATTTATTTACCGATAATTTGTGTTTGTTTTTGTTGTTATTGTAGTCTAATTGATCAAAAAGTACGTGAAGTATTTACCGATTATAGTCACGACAAGTTTTCCAGAGATCGGGCACTGGAATCAATACTAACCGAAGCTCGCAAACAGCTTAAGGATCAGTTTGCCGACGCCGCCGATGATGATGGTGTGCTCAACGATTGTTTACATCACTGTATCAAACGTATCTATGCCGAAGTGGTGGACGAAACTGGCAAACGTTGCGACGGTAGACTAGCCTACGAATTGCGACCGATTAGCTGTTCGGTCGACTTGTTTCGGCCACTGCACGGTTCGGCACTGTTTCAGCGCGGCTTTACTCAAGTCCTTTGTTCGCTAACATTCGACTCGTTGGACAGCGCCTGGCGTTCCGATGCATTTTCGGCACTGACTGGCGGACTGAAAGAGAAAAACTTTATGCTTCACTACGAGTTTCCCCAATACGCTACCAATGCTACCGGTTCGACACAGGTTGGCCGACGGGAAATTGGTCACGGATCGCTGGCCGAACGATCCATACGGCCGGTTGTACCCAACGACTATCCGTTTACCATTCGGCTCAACTGCGAAGTACTTGAATCCAATGGTTCGTCGTCGATGGCCAGCGTATGCGCCGGCAGTCTGGCACTGATGGACGCCGGCGTCGACATTAGTTCGGCTACGGCTGGCGTAGCCATGGGTTTGATCAAAAACGGTGACCAGTATTCAGTGTTGACCGATATTATGGGTTTTGAAGATTTTTTCGGCGAAATGGACTTCAAAATTGCCGGCACTAAGAAAGCATTCACTGGTCTACAGTTGGACTGTAAGCTCACGGATGGCCTACCGTTTCCGATACTTGTCGAAGCCATACAAAAGGCCGGTATTGCCAAACACGAGATACTGAACATAATGAACGGTGTTATACGTGAACCGCGCATATCTGTTGATAAACCTAACCGACCGGTTACGGAAACTGTGGACATACCGGTACATAAGCGACCGAAAGTTTTCGGTTACGGCGGTTATAATGTCAAAAAATTGACCGATGAATTGGGCATACGATTGACACAACACGACGACGATCTAACTCAATGGTCTCTATTTGCACCGAATCGCCAATCACTATACGAAGCCAAAGATCAGATCCAGGAACTGATGGACACAGTCAGCGAACCCGTACTCGAGTTTGGCCAGATTTATACGGCCAAAATTGTCGAACTACGTGAAAACGGTGTATTAGTACAGCTATATCCGACTCAGCAGACCCCGGCACTGCTGCACGTCTCGCAGTTGGACATCCGTAAAGTATCGCATCCGTCGGCACTGGACTTGGATGTCGGGCAGGAAATTGAGGTCAAATATTTTGGTCGCGACCCGGTATCGGGTGCTATGCGATTGTCACGTAAAGTACTGCAATCGGCCGATACGTTCAAACGTAATCTGATTCGCGAAAAAGCGGAATAAAAATTTTTTTAATTAATTATTTAATTTAAATATATTTTTATTTAAAAATTTATAATTAATTTAATTATAATTACAATTAATAATAATTACAATATTTTTTTTTTAGTTTTAAAATTTATATATAATTTAATTTAAATTACCGGTAAATACATGTTTATATATTTTTAATTATTATTTTTTTTTAATTATTAGTTTAAACATTAAACACATATTAAACAAAAACAAACATCAATTTCATGTCACACATATTGTACAGTAATAATAATAATAATTATTATTATTATTAAGTTTATATAATTAATTAAAAATATATAAATAAGTTGTAATTTTTTTTATAGAAAATTTTTTAGATTTACTAAAAAAATAATAATAATAATGTGTGTTATCATAATGTATTGATTATATAGTATATAAAATAATTTTAAATATTGTAATAACATTAAAATTTTTTAATTTATAAATATATGTAGTTTTTTATTAATTAAAAAAATATTTAAAAAAATTAATTTTCTTGAGCAAGATAGAAATAAAAATAAATAATTATTTTCAACAATAACAACAATAAATCATCTAGTCTATTATTATTAGTAGTAGTACAAATTGTTTTTAATTTAAAAATGTTAAAAAATTAATTTAAAAAAACAAAATTATCTAGTTGATTTATTACTACTTTCAAAAAATACAATTAACATCAATCTATATCAATAGATGTCACATACATGTATATAAAATAAAAATGTTTAAAATAAAAAATAAATAAATACATATATAACTAATATGACCATGCGCATGTCTATACTACTACTACTACTAGATTTTAATATACCAGTGCTGTATATATTTCCAGCTAACAGTGCTAAGTGACTAAGCCATCAGTCAGTTAATGTATGGGAGAGGAGAGGACATATACATACATACAGTTTTCTATATAATTGAACTGTCGATAGACATAGAGAGAGGAAAGTAGTGTTTTTTGACTCCCCATACAATACAACTACATATAACTACTGAACACAACAGTGTTGAGGACTTGTAGTGAAGTTTAGTGACTGTGTATTAGTGTATAAGTTTATGTGTGTGAATATGTGGTACTATTTGACACTATTTGACATGAAGTAAACGGCAATAGTGTTAATAGAAATGGTACCAAAAATATTTCAAATTTAACTGACAGTGACTTTTTGTGATTTGTATGGATATTCAATAGCCTGGACTACCAGTGCGCTACACATCTGGTGTGTGTGTGTGTGCAGTGATTACTATACAGTACACAACACAACTGTCCCCTCACTCTCAACAATTATTACCCTCTTTTAGTTTACGAGAAAAAAAAATCTGTATTATCTGTATCTGGTATACCATTAAATAAAAACTTTTTTTTTATTTGAAAAAGTTTTGAATGTCATACTCTACCAGCACCGGGACTACACCAGCACCAGCAGCTGCTGTCAACTAACTATGTTTGAAGGAGACACCATCACCAGCACCAATACATTTAGGATGAAATAAATAATACTATAAAAAAGCTAACTTTCCTTATATATAACAAATAAGACATACCCCCTCACCCCCACCCCCCAGGCCTACAATATGCCGGTACAGTCGGCTAACTATCACCAATCAATGGATACTACAACTAATACTAGTACTAACCATAATCACCATAAGCACAGTCATCATCATCAACAACAACAATGTATGATATAATTTAATATATGATATAATTTTTTTGATACCCCTTTTAATTTAATCATCCATACAATCAATACCCGTTTGAAATACCCGTTTTTAAAATAAAAAAAATCATTTTTCACTTTTACATAATTATAATAATTTATATATCATATGATTATGATATACTGTATAAAAATTTATTTTTTTATTATTAATTACAGTAATATATTTGGTTACATGTAGTTAATGTTAATTATTATGATTATTATGATTATTACTTAATAATTTTATTACAATTTTTTTTATTATTGGTATTAATTAATTAGTTATTAGGAAATATAATTACATTTACATTATTAATAATAAAAAAATTTATATCATAAAGTTTAATATTATTTATTTATAATAATAATACTATAATATTTAAATATATAAATGTCTAGTACACTAGTATTTTATTTTTAAAAAAAAATTAATTAGTAATAATTATTAGACAAAAAATTTTTTATTTTAGTATTATTATTAATAATCATTTATTTTAATTAATTTTTTGTTTATTTAAAAAAAAAATATTTACAGTATTTTACAACAACAACATAAAAATTTGCAATTAATATGACTGAAAATGATAAACATTTTAAAAAAATATTAATTGTCATTAATTAAAAATTAGTAATATTTATTTAATATAGTTTTTGATTTTTAATTTTATTTTTTGAAATTATTTTCAAATTATATTTTATTTACAATTTTCTGTATATATATATTGTCGCTGTTGTTGTTGTTGTTGTAGTTTTATAGGGAAATTGAGGACAAAATTACTGTTTTATTAAAAAATAACAAAAAATAAATATTTTATTTTTATATATATTTATAGCCTATATATCATCATATGATGATTATTAAGTTAAAATGAAATTATATATATATATTTATATTATATTAAATATATGTCAATAGATTATCAACAATATATATATATATATATTTATATTTAATTAAATTATTAAATTGATGGCTAATATCCTCTATATATATATATACGATAAACTAAATACTTATAGTAGTAGTAGTAGTAGTAGTAGTAGTAGTAGTATTAATACCAATAATAAATGTTATACACGTTATAAACGTTAATTTAATTTAGGACTTAACACACACACACACATGTGTTGTTAAATTTACTTTATATTAAATATGAGATAATATATATATATATATATATATATATATAATATTTAGTTAGTTTTTATTTAGAGATTATTTACTTATATTAAAGTACTATATATTATATATTTATTTATTGATAATTTCAAATATAATAATTTTTCAAGAGTTTATTGATACTGTGGGGGTATTATTTCATAGGTTATTATATATATACTTATATATAAATATATTTTATATATATATATATATATATATTATTGTGTATGTGATTATAGAGAGTGAGATATAATAATAATACTAATAATTGTTTAAATATAATAGGAAATAATGAAAATATAATTATATACAATGCTATCAATTCAATGGGGTTATAGATACAAGTTTTTTTTAATTTCATGTTTTTTTTAATATTAGTTATTGTTGTTATCACTATTTAACTGATTTTTTTTCACATGAAATACAATTTTTGATTTCATTTTAATTTCAATTCAATTATTAAGCGCTTGAATTTCACTTGAAATATATATAGATATATATATATAGTTTTTATTATTTAATTATTATTTATTTTTTAATATCACGTATATATAAAAAATATTATTTTTATTTTTATAATACATACTATACATATATACCTGAATATATATTATATGTGTCATACAATTATACACTGTATATACCGGTATATATATATATATATATATAATAAACTAGAAATTTATTATATAGACTATTACATAATACTGTTGTATAGTTACTTATAGTTAGTGATAGAGAGCACACACCTAACAAAAATATGTGTTGCATATATCACATGAAATCTTGAAATATACCGTTTATATTATAAATATATATACTGTATATACGGTTGTGGGGATAACCACATAATTTAATTAATTAATAAATATAAAACTGTGTATAATATTTATAAAAAAACAAACATTAAATTATTTTTTGTTTAATGTTTCTAACTAACCATGGTGAATCATCCACCCACACACATACACGCACACACCCTCCCACCAATTTGGTGATAATATATATTGGTTTATTGGTTTTATTTTATTAATTTATTATATAAAACAAAATAAATAAATGTTATCTATCTAGACATAATATTTTATATATATATATATAATGTAGACATAATAAACAATAGGGTATTGTATTACTTATCTATATCTACATATATATATATATGCATGATTTAAAACATGATTACTTTATTATATGTATATCTGGTAACCAAAAATATATATACAGTATATGGCACCGGTATGTCCACCAACAACAAAAAAATCTGGTGCCACTTTGACTATACACTAACCAACCAAACCAACCAATTTGACATATACAACAAGCCATGCCATACTATGCCAGGCCATGAGTCATACAAATTGTGTGTGTGTTTAACATATAGTTTTATATGTATATATATTGTTTGTATATATTTATAAATAAATACCATAAAAATTTTGAGAGTACTGTACTGTACATATGTTGTCTGTGCCCTGTATTTAAGTACTACACACACACACACATGTCTAGTCCTTTTAAAAACTACATGAGCTTTATCAGTATATGGCACATACACAGGCATAATAGGAGGGCATACAGTACATAAGCTTATAATATTCTAGAGTAATAAATCGACTTTGTTTAGGGAAATACTACTAACTAACTGTCTGTCCATTTAATTAATAGATAGGTATTTATTTTATTTTTTGGATAATTAGATAGATATATAGGTAGTATAGTGTATACCAGACCCCATTGTTTAATTAATGCTTATAACCAAAAAAAAAAAAAAACCTAACGGTGCCATCACATACAATATCTAACATATCAATTATCTATCTATCTATCCATATATATATATATATAGCTACCAATAGCCCAGAGAGTGAATTTGATGCCATACTGGGCCAACTGTGCGATCTGGGGTCGCAAATAGATAGAGAACTGTGCAATAGGAGTACGCTTAGAGAATCGTCATCGTCGGGCACCACCGGCACTATCGATAGGACAGGTAGTATTGGCTGTCCAACCAATGGTAACGATATGGCCAACGATACAACCATCACTACCGATGATGACCCGGACAACAATACCGTAGACGATAAATGCAAATCGTCGACCGGAAGTGTCGACTCGACCGGCGGTGCATCGACAGTGGTTGGCGTCGGTAGTGGCCGTACCGACTCGCCCGACAACGACTCGGCCTATTCAGACTCGTTGTCAATGTTGTCGTCTGAACGATCGGAACAGTCATCATCGTCATCGTCGGGTGCGTCCGGTTCAGTCAAATCTAGTCATCAACAGTTGCAGATGCAATTGTCCATGAAATCTAGTGGCGGCGGCAAACAAACTATACAATCGTCCAGTGCTAGTGATAACGGTGCTCATCATCATCAACAACAACCAGCAGTGATCACCACTACTAATACTAACACTACTACCACTGCCAACAACAACAACAACAACAATACCAATAATAATTCAGATGTTCAACAAGTGTTTGTCAAAGTGTTTACCGCCGATAATAGTGCCAAAAGTTTGTTGGCCGACGAACGTATGTCCGTATCATTGATTTGCAGACAGTTGGCCGAAAAAAATCAGATACCAATGGACCCGAAGTGTTCAATTGTCGAACATATACCCGACCTTTATTTAGGTATGTCCTATCATAACCATCCCATATGTTTTTTTATGTATGCATGTATGTATGTATGTATGTATGTATGTATGTATGTGTGTGTGTGTGTGTGTGTGTGTGTGTGTGTGTATGTATGTATGTATGTGTGTGTATGTGTTTGTGTATGTGCAGTCATAATTAGGTTATGTTTAGTTTAACCGATGGCATTGAATAGCAATTATTAGTAATTGAAAACATTATTATGTGTTGTTTATTAATACAGTAAATGTTTAATGAATTAATTCAATAGACAGAGAGAGAGAGAGAGAGAGAGCTATTAATTAATTCAATGACATTGGATGTTTGAAAAGCAGATTTTTCTCTCTCTTTTTTTTATCTTTTTTTTAATTAATTAAATTTAATTTTTACTGATTTAAATAATTAATATATATATATAAAAAAAATAAAATTATAAATTATTAAAATTATAATTTATTTAACAAAATATTGCACATATAACTACTATTATTGGTTAGCATATATATAAAATTAGTTCATCAAATATCAAACAACAACAAAAAATAAAATTAAATATAAAATAAAATAATTTTTTGACGACAATAATTGATTAACAATTTTGTTGTTGGTTTCATATATATATATATATATATATATATATATATATATATATATATATATATATATATATATATTATCTGGAAATCCTATGACTATATTATAGACAGAGTATATATAATTTATATATTAATAATAAATTTTATTGACATTTATAATAATAATAATAATAATAATATTAAATAGAAATAACATTGAAATATGCTATACATTACATACACTAACAGTATAGTACAGTATATTATATAACTATAAATAACTTTTACATTATATATATATATATATATATATATGTTTTAAATGGTGTGATCAGCAAACATCACATATATATATAATGATTTCATTGTTATTATTATTATTATTACTATATTTTTATTATTATTATTATTTATTTTATAGATTATCTGTCCTATTGTTTTAGTTTTAGTGTGTATATAATTTATTATTTGTTTATAACATTATATATATATATATATATAATAAATATAATTTATATCATATGAAGGGCACTATCTATTTAGTTAAGGAAATATTTTTTAGCAGTAATTTATGAAATTTTTTAATATTTTTTTTTAGTTAAAACTTAAGCAACAAAACAACAAAAATAGTTAAACAAAACTTTAAAAAACAAAAAAATACTTTTTCCCTATTAATTAATGACACGAATAATATATTTATATATTATTATAATAATAATAATGATTAATATAAATATTTTTTTTCATAAAAATAACGACAAAATTTGCAAACAATAGTTTTATTTTAATAGTTATTATTATTTCTTTAAAAATATATAAAATAATATATAAAAATCATAAGACTCTTATACACTATTATATTATATATACAAATATATATATATATATATATATATATTTAATATACTATATATTTTTTAGGGGACAAGTAGTTGTCAAGTTTGTATGGGTGGGTGAGTGAGTGTGTGTGTGTATGATTGAGGTGTGTGTGTGAAAAATATTAAGAGAGAGAGAGAGAGAGGTGAGAGGCTATTAGTTGTAGTGATAATAGATATGACATTGAATGGGAAAGACATCACTACTACTAAACAATAGGCTATACTTTAATATACTGATTGTCTGTCTGGCTGTGAGAACTGGTAGTTATAATAATGACTTTCCATTCTCTCTCTCTCTCTCTCTCTCTCTCTCTCTCTCTCTCTCTCTCTCTCTCTCTCTCTCTCTCTCATCTCTAATGTTATATATATTTTTTAATGAAAACTTTTTTTTCTTCACTCATATGACATAACAGAGCGTTACTATGAGGACAATGAAAGTCTAGTTGAAAACGTACTGCTCTGGACCCGTGACTCCAATAATCGGTTGTATTTTATGGAAAGGGATGACAAATATGAACTGTTTAGCCAACCGGAACACTATCTACTGGGGGCTGACAGTAGCGAACGGGATGCCCAACTCGATGATGAAGCCAAGGCTATACTAGTCGATGAATTTTTTAGCTCCGGTACGGTTCCGGTACCCGAAGTCGAAGGACTGTTGCATTTGAAATCGGACGGTAAGAAAACATGGAAACGACATTATTTTGTATTGCGTGCTTCGGGACTGTACTACTGTCCCAAAGGAAAGTCATCTAAATCATCGAAAGATTTGGTTTGTCTGATCACTTTCGAGATGAACAATGTCTACCAGGGGGTCGGTTGGCGTAAGAAATTCAAAGCACCGACCGATCATTGTTTTGCTATAAAACATCCGCAAATACAGACCAAATCAACCAAATATATCAAATACTTGTGCGCCGATAGCGAACAGGATATGCGACTGTGGACTACGGGTATACGTATTGCCAAATATGGCCGACAATTGAAGGACAACTACGATACCATACAGCGGGATATAGTGGAAGCCGATCTGGATTCGCTGGCCAATCGACGTAGTTTTTCCGTTTGTTCAATGGCCAGGAATATACAGCTGGCGGTACAGTCGCCGACTAATTCGGCTGATGGTATGGTCAACGGTGGTGGCGTATATACGCCCACCCATTCATCGGCCGCAAGCGATATCATAAGTGTCAGTAGTAGTAGCAATAGTAGCAGACCTACCTCTATAACCATTACCACCAACAACAACAACAATGGTGGCCATCATCAGCAACAGCATCAGCAACACTATCATAATAATTGGCCAAATCATCGTATGTCCCGAAACGATTCGATCAGGTCGTCGTCGACCAGTTCCAGCAGTGGTTGCCTATCGGAAAAAGGATCGTCAACTGTCAGTACGCCAACTATGGAACAGTTAGCCTTCGAAGCCGACTATCCAATGGGTACTATCAAACGCAAACCGTCGGTAATGCAGCCGAAAATACCGTTGACCAATACGACCCGCAATCTGGCCCTACATTCGGACGATGCCTTAGTCGAAATGGACTCCGACTCGTCCGATGTCGATCTGGACACTGGTGCACCACATTTCCAGTGCGGTACACTCAAGAGCGGTACACTGCGCCGATCGGTTACCGATGATCGGCTCAAAAATCGCATATACGACCAGTTAAGTCAACAACGATTGCCGCCGCCACTGGCGACTACTGTTGCCGCCAATAGTGTTGTTGTTGGAAGTGCTGTGAAATTTAATGGTGCAGTAGTAGTAGTACCGCCAGTGGTAGCCCCAGTGCATCATCAGCATCATCATCAGCTGCCGGCGCCATTGCCGTCCAATGATGGCCATCACCAGCAGCACCAGCAACAACATCAGCATCATCTCAATGTTGATGAGTTGCCACTACCGCCGCCACCGCAAGTACTCGAGCATAGCTTAAGTACGCTTAGCCTGAATTCATTACCGCCGCCGCCCTGTGAAGTGATTAACCACAACAACAACAACCTATCGGACAGTATAGACACCGTTGACTTTGGATCGTCTAACTCGACCACACCGACCGGTGCAATGTCGCCAGTGGTTAGTCCGAAAAAACCGCCGGTGTTGTTATCGTCACCTCAGTCACCGCAAGTGCCGCCAAAGCCTAAACTAGTTCGACGTTTGTCCGAAACGGCCGGCGATAGAGTAGGAGGAGGAGTAGATAACCAGAGTTTTATCGGCGAACTGACTTCAAGACAACGGTCGTCGACACTACAGCGAGGACTGTCCAGTCGGCAAAAACAGTTTGCATTGGAACTGAACAATACGATCAGCGCCTACGGTACGTCACCCCGGATGAAGTGCGGCCCGTATGTCAGTGCCATGAATGGCAATGGCCATCAAACAGCTGGCCTGAGATCGGGAGGAGATGTCAGCAATGATTTAGCTTCTCATTATCGGTCCAACTCATCGATAGGTAGTTACCATTCATCTACCAGCTGTCCAGCGGGAGGAGGAGGAGTAGGAGCTGGAGGGGGATCGTCAGCACCGCACACACCTGTCAACGAGATTATAGCTGCCGGCTCTCCTATATATCAGCGATCGCCTGTCCATTATTCACCCTTTCCTTCCAACAACAATAGTAACATACAGTCATCGTCTCAGTTGACTAACAATAGCCAAAATAATAGCAATAGTATTGGCAGTGCAGGTGCTCCCCAATCGCCTATACATCATAATCACCTCCCGGCCTATCAACAGCAACAACAACAAATGCCTGTCCAAAACCAGTCAATATATCAGTCCTATGGATCGCTTAATCGACACCATCACCAACAACAACAACGACAGTCACCAATCGGTGGTGATTACTATCAACACCAACAACAACACCAACAAACTAACGGCACTTATAGGGAAAAGATATACGATTTCAATACAAATCTTATACAACAACATAATCGTCAACAACAATATAGCAATACTTATAATAATAATAATAGCAATACTAATAATCACAATATGATGATGACCAACAATGGTCAGCAGCATATTACACACCAACAACAACAACAACAGGCCAACCCATTTTATGCCTATCCACCGGTGCCCACCACCAACAACAACAACAATCATCATCATCAGCACCGTCAACATACTGATGCCCAACAATTACCGCCACCGCCTCCACTATTGCCAACACAGCATCATATGGCTGTCCAACAACAACAACAACAACAGCAGCAACAGTGCTATCAACAACAACTACCGCAACCACAACAATACAATGGATACCAATCCCAACAACAACAGGTGCCGGTGCAACAACAAATCTACTCTAATCATCAGCACCAACAACAACAACAGCAGCCCATATATCAGTCAAACAACAATTATGGTTTAGTTGGCAATGGTGTACAACCATCATACCATCCTAATAATCATCAGCAGCAACCAACTGTTCCACCACATCACCCACAACAACAACAACAAGTATATAATACCAATGGATATAATAATAATACCACTTATAGTGCTCAGACAACGACAACAACAACCAACCAGCAAAATGTTATCCGATATTCCTATCAACCCATGGATCCATCAGCCCGTAGTCCGCACAAGGGTCCACTGCCGCCACCGCCCGACCAATTTCTGCGGGAAATACAGCGAGTTATGGACAAAAAATGGAAAGTAGCCCAAACACTGTCACAGGATAGTGGCCAGTCGTCGTCGTCGTCGACACCCAATCAGATACTCGGCTTTCGTGATCCCAGATATTTGCCGCCAAACCATCAGCAGCGACACCAACAACAACAACCTAACTATCCGTCGGTAAACAACAACAATATGTATGACGTGTTGCCATCAAATCATATGCGGTCGACAGTCGTCGTCAATGGTTCCTCCTCATCAGTGCCGGCGGCACCGGTAACCAAATCGGTAAGGATATCGACACAAGTCCAGGAAATACCTAATAATCATAATAGTCATCATCATCAGCAACAACAACAAAGGCATAGCAACAGCGGCAGCAGCCGAAACCTACCGCCGCCGCCACCACCGAAGCGGTCAGAGTCGACACACCTGTCGCACAGATAGTAATAATAATAATAATAATATGTTTCTCTCTATGTGTTTACCTAAGCGTGCGATCAGTAGTAGTATCTGTGCTATATGTATGTGTGTGTGTGTGTGTGTGTGACTGAGGATTATTATTGATGGTTAGGGTGGGTGAGTGAGTGAGTGGGTAAGTGACTGACTGACTAACTGAGAACCGGTATTTCCTATGTATGGTGCGGTTCATAGCACTTTGATATGGTGTGGATCATCCTATTGTCAACTAAATAATAATAATAATAGGATAGTATAGTATACCTATCTATCTGTCTATTATTTAGTATTTAACAATAGATATTGACTTTTGGACTTTCAAGTGACAAAAAATATATATATAAATTATATATCAATTTGAATATACAGTATACACACACAAAAAAATTGTATAATAAATTCAAACAAACAAAAAAAAGTTAAATAAGTTTTTTTTTATATTTATATATATTTGTTAGTTGTTGTTGTTGTGATATATCAATGTTGTTGTTGTTGTTGACAATGATGTTATATAATGTGTAGTATATATATATAGATAATGTTGTTATTGTTATATTATTATTAATATTATTATTATATAATTATTTTTTAATGTATTATATAATATATGTCGACATATTATACGTATTATATAAGTCCTCTCCTATATATATCTCTCTATCTCTCTCTTTGACAATAATTTTATTATTATTTGAATATTTAATTAATTTTTTATATATATAAAAAAAACTTGAATTATTTTTACCTAATATTTATTTTTTAATTTAATATTTTTTTGTTTGTTTAGAAACAAAAATATAAAAATCTAGTTTTGTTTTCAACAAAAAAAAATCTAACTTTTTTTATATAAAAAAAATTAAATAATTAACAACTAAATAATTATTGCCCTACACTACTACTACTACTACTACTACTACTACTACTACTACTACTAATTGATAGCCCACTAAACAAAAATTATATATATAAACTAAATTTTTTTATTAATTTAAATTATCACAATTATAATTATGATAATTGTAAATTTATGTGTTTTAGTTTCAACATTTTACGTCAAAAATTAATTATTTTTTTTCAAATTTATAATTACCATAAATATCACATATTTATTATATATACAGTATATACTGCACAGGTATATAATTCCTCCCTTTCCTTATATATATATACTGTATATACAGTATATATCTTATAGACTTCAAAATTTTTAATATTAATTTAAATCTTTATTTTTTTAATTTAATTTTTTTTTTGAGAAACACTGGTTTTTCGTTGTTGTTGTTGTTGTTGTAGTTGTTGTTGTAAATTATCATTATCAAGTAAATATCATGTGTGATAATAAATAGTGATTATAAATAAATTAAAACTAAATAATAGACAATATATATATATATATACAGTATATATATATACTGTATATACCGTATATACAAACAGGACATACAAGTTGTTTGGGTTGAATGTAATTATATTATAGTTAAAAAAAAAACTTAATTACTGATAGATATATACATACATAACAATCTTAATGTGTGTTAACTTTATTTTATTTTAATTTTTTTTTTGGTACTGAATCTATGCCTCCCATTCCTCTCCCATATACTCTCTTACACCCCTTCCCTAACCATATCTATTATGGACGTCTGTCCTCTTAAATACCGTATATATACTGTATATATATATATGATATCTAAACAGGAATATATATACATACATAACCTTTTTATTTTCATAATCATTACAGTATAGTAACATAACTACTACTACAACAACAACAATAAAAATAAAATTAGTTATACCTGTGCTCTCATTATTTTATAATATTTATAATAATTTCATTGTTCACCCATACATGTGTGTGTGTGTGTGTGGATCAGGTGGTTGTGTGCTTATCATAAATTAAAAAATAAAGTATAGTTAAGTATAGTTAGTTAGTAGTGGTGGTAATTGAGCTTAAAATTTTTCATATATATACAGTATATACTGTATGTGTTTGGATATTAACTTATTATTTATTTATAATATTTAAAAGAATAATTTTTTTTAAAAAAAGTTTTTCTATGAAAACATTTTTAATTTTTTTGAGGAAAACATTTGAATTTTGGTTTGAATTTTTTGTTTTATTTGAAGAAATAATTTTTTTTTTATAAAAAAAAACTACCGGAGCTATCAAGCAGTTAGTAATTTTCATAATAATAATATTATTATTATTATTAATTTTTTTGTTGCCAAAAAATAAATAAATTATAAACACAATAATAAATGCAATATTATTTATAATAGTATTTATAATATAATTATGATTTTTTTTCTCTCTCATTATAATTACATGTATTTTCTATAATATAAATTAGTTTTTTTTAAAACTTTTTCATTATTAACTTATTATTATTTTTTTTAAATATTTCAATAATAATAATAATTATTATTATTATTAGTATTGAATTGTTTTGTTTTTCCTTAAAAATATTGATATATTTATACACTGTTTTTCTGTACATTTTTTATACAAAAAAAAAAGTCAAATCTATGCTATAATTAATTAATTAATTATAATATAAACAAAACAAAAGTGTAATTAATATGTATGAGAGATATCTGGAGAGCGATTAAAAACAATATATATATATTAATATATATATATATAAATCAATCAAAATAATTATTACTAAAGGATTACTAATAATATTATAGTTAAATATTACATATTTATATATATATATATAAGGAAAACAAAGTTTTTATGATATTATTATTATTATATAATAATTATTAATATAATAAATTGATTATTATTATTATTAGTATATTATTAATGCTTTTTATGCATATTATTATTAAAGTTATAGATAAAAAATTATTATAACTGTATTATACTTAAAATATATTATTATTTAAATTAAATAGATTAATTAATTAATTAATTAATAAAACAATTGATTATAAATATATAACAATTTTTTTTGTTTATAACAGAATTATTATTAATAATATAGTAAATAATAAAAATTAATTGATTAATATTTGGTAAATAATATTTATATAAACAAAAAATATTATGGTATTTATTATTAATAATAATTCTAACCTGGATTAATTTTGTTTTTTAGTTTCAATAATATTAATAAAAATAAACAAAAATCTAAGTCATTTAATGATAAAAAAAATAAATTAATTTTTAAAAAAGCAAAAATTTATTATTCAATTTTTTTTATAATATATATATAATTATTATTGCATGTTTTTTAAAATACAATTTTTTTTATTATAAAATACAATTATTTTTTTGAAATTTTTATTATTATTAATGATTTATATATCCGATGTTTGCTACGGAAAACAAATGTTTTGTAATGTAATAATAATTATTAATATTATTATTAATATTATTGTTTGCTATGCTATTACATGAATTTTATAACTGATTTTTTACGGTACATATAAAATTGATTTTTAAAAAAAAATTTTTTTGTTGTTATTGAATATAATAGAAAAAATATCGTGTATTTAGAAAATAAAATATTTTTTAATTATCTATAATATTATGATTGTATTTAAATGATATTAATATTATTAATAATATTAATATAAAAATTAATTTAATATAAATTGAATAATTATTTTTGCCCTTAATTTCTAATTTATAATAACAAATAATTGAATAATATTGTTGTATATAAATAAAATAAATATATAATTATTGTAATAAAAATATTAATTAAAATGATTATTATGATTATATTTATTATTATTATTATTATTAGTATATTAATTGATTAAAAAATTTTAATAAAAAATAAATAAATAAATTTAATTAAAACTAAAAGTGTTTTTTATTTGTATTTTATTTATAATATTAATATTTTTATAAATGAAAATTATTTTGCAATTATTGAATATACAGTATATATATGTATATTAAACTAAAAGTATTGTTTGTATTGAATATTTTTATTTATTTATTTTCAATTTCCTAACATTTTTTGTTTGTTTGATTAAATAATTCAATATATTTCAAAATCAAATAATAATAAAAAAAAACTAATAATATGAGTGATGACATGATTATTGAGTATATATATTGTATTTATTTTTTTTTATAAATATTACACAATTTATAGTTATATATATTTATATATTTAATACATTGATTTATTGTTAATGACTTTTCAACATAATATTTATCACAAATAACTATTAGATTTGAATCAAACAAACAAACAAAAAAATATTAAACATTTTTTTTTTAAATAAAATGTTTAACAACAATAAGATCCTGTTGTTAGTTAGTAATGTTAATCATATTATATAACAACTATTTAGTTATTGTTATTTATAAAAAAAATTATTGTTAAAATTATTTCAATATATATACTGTACTGTATTATAGTTTTACAGGAAATAGATATTTATATACAATATTAATATGTATTCATATTTATAGGTCATATTATAATGTGTACTGTATATCATATATATATATAAATTGATTTATAATAATAATATCATGTTTGAGGAAAATATTTTATATAAATACATAAACTGCTAAATATCTTTATATATATACACTGCAAACATAATTTAATTTCGTATCGCAAAAATATTGATATCATTAACTTTGAACTTTAATAACTTTTTTATTTTTTAACTTAAATAAACAAATTTGATATCAAATGAAAGAACACTTTTCAAAGTTTATAAGTCAATAAATAAAATTGCATTAATTATCATATTATCTATAAAAAAGCATAAGAAGTAAGAAATGGTAAAAAAAGTTATGTACAAAAAGTATTTTCGTGAAATCAAAACTTTAAATATTATTAACAAAATAAAGCTATTAATTTAGTAAAAACAATATTAATATCGAGTATTGCCTCCGTTGGCATCAATCACAGCCTGCAATCTTCTTGGAACACTTTGGATCAGCTTTTCTGTGACTTCTTCAGGTATATTTTTCCAGACATTAAATAACGACTCTTTAAACGCAGAAAAACTTTTTCTTTCGCTCTTTGGCACACGTCTGTCCAATTCATCCCATAGATGTTCAATAATATTGAGGTCAGGGCTCTGTGGCGGCCACTCAAGTGTCTCAATTTGATTGTCAGACAACCATTTCTTTGCCAATTTTGATGTGTGCTTTGGGTCGTTGTCCGCTTGAAATAAAAAATCATCGCTTATTTGTAGATCTCTGGCACTCTGAAGCAAATGTGGGGTCAAAATATCGTTAACGTAAATGTAGCGGTCCATAGTTGATGGAATTTCGACCAAATGGCCAACTCCCTGGCCTGTCATACACCCCCATACCATAACTGATTTCGAGTGCTTCACAGTTGGACATATATTATCAG